ATGCTTGGATTTCACACATGCTGAGAATTCCGGACAGTATTTTGATCTTGACTTTGAGCACGTTCATATTCACGTTGACAGGGTAAATTCTTTCCTTACCGCCGGAAACCTCGGTCCTCATAACTTCCGCATCGGCCAAATCGTAGCACACCACTTCAGCTTTCCACTCTTTGCCGCTGCCTGCGAGAAAGTCATATCGAGGCCCAAATGATATAAATTAACCCCGGGGGGGGGGGGGGGGTCTCTGACAGTGTTTCTTTCACACTTTTTTCTCTCCAAGGGGGGGGGGGGAATATAAAATTTAAAAAAAATATTTCGGGGGTTGGGGAATGGAGCGATCATCTTACGGGGGGGGGGGGGGGGGGTGGGGAGGGTGTTGGTTAAAGTATATATTTTATATATGAATTCTATTTCGTACGGGGTGGAGGGGCCAGGCCGTTGGCGTTTTTCAAGGAGGGGGGGGGGGGGCAAATAGATGCCTAGATTCAACTATAGTCTCCAAACGTTTCATCCCGAGGACCGCATTAACTATTAATTAACAATTCTGGTGGCCTATGATTAACTCGAGGTCCAAATAAAAAAAAATCAAAACATAGATGTTGCATTTAAATATCTATCTATACTAATAGTTTCGCTGTCTGTCTATCTATCTGTCTATCTATCTATGTATCTGACAAGAACGCTATGGAGAAAACACAAGCAAATTAAAAACTTTCATAGTCAGACGGAAACGAAATATGACGTCACATTGGAGCATATAGTAGAAAATAATCTCAAGCCCATTCCACCTCCCCCCCCCTTAAGAACGTCTACGCCCCCCCCCTCCCCAACTCAAAAGAAATGTCGTCATTGATACTCTATAATAAAATCTTAAAAGTGGTTTGCGTAAAGAGTTTCCTTCATGCAATTCTTCGGGTAGTGGCTAAGCGCGACACCAGTGTTTCTATCAGACTTTTTCCTCCCCGGAGTGAGGAACTTTTTCTAATCTAAAAAGTGTTTAGCGTGCACAATTTTTTTCATGCATCTCTTCCGGTAGGATCGAAGCCCCGCCCAGGTTCTTCCTTTAGTTTGTATGATCTACAAATGCGACCAGTGTTTCTTTCAGACTTTTTCCTCCCCGGAGAGGGATGAGGGTACTTGAAATTTTCGGGGGCGGGGGGTAGAATTTTCTGTGAGGGGGCAGACACTAGAAAAAGTATTTAATTATATTTCGTTGAATGGGACGGTAGACATGTTTTGGGGTGTGTGTGTGGGGGGGGGGGGGGGCGCGGAGCCCCCTCCTCCCAAGTAGAGTTGCCTGAAAGAAACTCTAAATGCGACTTTTGTCATGAATGAGATTAGGTGCATGGTTCAGGGATATGCCTATGACTATATTTTGTATAAATTAAAGTACCGATTCTGGGTAAAAATCCGTTTTCAATGTCATTTTTCGTTTCCGGTTAAATTGAATTAAGGTGGTGATTTTGGTTTTAGTTTAGAGAAAATAGACAGTACTATCAACCTAGTGCCCGTTGTATCCTTCCTCAACGGGCCATTTTTCTCGTCTATACTAATAGTTTCGCTGTCTGTCTATCTATCTGTGTAGCTATCTATGTATCTGACAAAAACGCTATAGAGAAAACACAAGCAAAATAAAAACTTTCATAGTAAAACGAAAACGAAATATGACGTGACATTTAGCATATAGTATAATAAACCGGGAGTGATCTCCCCTAAACATTCTCGGATATTCTAATATAAAACTACGAGGGATGGCAACTCAGGACATAGACAATATTTGTAATCCATTTTTATTTACTTAAACTTTTTATAATAGAATGGAATCTCGTAAAAAAAAAAAAAGAATTGCACACTAAGTGAACGCCTAATAAAATGTGCATAATAGTGCGGGATATTATTAGTACTTTATAAATTTACGTGCGTTTTTTGAGAAATCGAAAATAGCGTAAATTAGTAATTTCGGTAAACGGAAATTACTCAAAATTTGACAGAAGGTAGAGGATTAGATCTTTTACTTACATGTGAAATTTCATTTATCTATCTGAAACAGTACTCAAGTTATAGGCTTTTTGAAAAATTCAAAGTAGAATAAGTACCACTTCCGGTTATTGGAAATCGCTCAAAAGTTGATAAGGATCTACGATTTTGATAAAATATTTATATATGAAATTTCATCAACCTAGCTGTAACGGTACTCAAGTAATCGTGTTTACACACAGACACACACACAGACACACACACAGACACACAGACATACGGACAAGATTGCAAAATTATGTTTTTCCGTATCAGTAAGGTGTAAAACGTCGAGATTTGTAAAAATCTCGATTTTTTTTGTGCACGATTACAATACTTTCTCTATACTTCGTATAGGCCTATACGAGAAAGTAAAAAAGTCTACAGCCGGAGAGTGCACAAAATAATATGACGTCATTGATTCTCGAGTAAACATTGAATTAAAAAGCCAATGTTGTCTAATCTTAGGAGTGGTTTGCGTGAAGAGTTTCTTTCATACAATGCTTCGTGTAGGGGCGAAGCCCTCCCCCCGTTAGAACATCTAAGCCGCCTACACCCCCCCCCCCAACTCAAAATAGATGACGTCATCGATACTCTATAAAAGTGTTTTGCATTTAGCGTTTCTTTCATAGAATTAATTCTTCGGGTAGTGGCTAAGAGCGAGACCAGTGTTTCTTTCAGACTTTTTCCTGGACGGAGAGGGGGGTTACTTAAAATTTTCGGGGGCGGAATAAATTTTCTCGGAAGGGACGGACACTGAAAAAAAGTATATAATTATATTTCGGTGAATGGGACGGTAGACGTGCTTTGGGGTGCTTAGGTGGGGGGGGGGGAGTGTTGGTGGGCGGGGCGGAGCCCCCTCCCCCTAAGTATAGTTCCTGAAAGAACTCTAAATGTGACTTTAGTCATGATGGAGATAAGGTCCATGGTTTATGGGTATGACGACGACTATATTTAGTATAAATGCGCGATAACTACGTGTAGATCAAGCTTAAATCCGATTAAAATGCCGATTCTGGATAAAAATCCGTTTTCAATGTCATTTGTCGTTTCCGTTTAAATTTGAAGTATAGGTGGTGATTTTGGTTTTGGTTTAAGTTTAGAGAAAATAGACAGCACTATAAAACCTAGCGCCCGTTGTATCCTTCCTCAACGGGCCATTCTTCTCGTTTAGTATAATAGTTTCGCTGTCTGTCTACGTATATGTGTATCTATCTATCTATGTATCTGTCGGGAACGCTATAGAGAAAAATAAGCTAAATAAAAAATTTCATAGTAAAACGAAAACGAAACATGACGTCACATTGAGCATATAGTGGAAAGCCGGGAGAGTGCACACAATAATATGACGTCATTGATTCTCGAGTAAACATTGAATTAAAAAGCCAATGTTATCTAATCTTAAAAGTGGTTTGCGTGTATGGTTTCTTTTATGCATAACTTCGGGTAGGGGCGAAGCCCCCCCCCCCACATCAAAAGAAATGACGTCATCGATACTCTATAGAAAAAACAATGACATTACGGCCTCGTTAATATGTCTAATCTTAAAAAGTGTTATGCGTGAAAAGATTCAATTTCATGCATCTCTTCGGGTAGGGGGAAGCCCCACCCCCGGTAGAACGTCTAAGCCGCCCCCCCCCCCCCCCCCGTCTCATAAGCATGACGTCATCGATACTCAATAAAAAAAAGACTGACATTACGGCCTAATTAGTATGTCTAATCTTAAAAATGGTTTGTGTGAAGAATTTCTTTCGGGGGTAAGCAGCACCTCCCCCCCCATCCACTCCCCGGAAGTGCGACCAGTGTTTCTAGCAGACATTTTCCTCCACAGGAGGGGGGGTAATTTGAATGCTCTAATCTTAAAAGTGTTATGTGTGCATAGTTTTTTTCATGCATTTCTTCGGGTAGGGGCTCTTCCAGGCTCTACTTTTAGTTTGTATGATCTGCAAATGCGACACTGTTCCTTTCAAACTTTTTCCTCCCGGGTGAGGGGGGGGGGGGGGTACTTGAAATTTTCGGGAGTCGGGTTGGACTAAATTTTCTGGGAGGGGGTGGACACAGGAAAAAGTATATAATTATATTTAGTTGAATAGGACGGTAGACGTGCTTTGTGGTGTTTGTGTGTGGTGGGGGGGGGGGGGCAAAGCCCCCTCTTCCCTCAAGTATAGTTTCCTGAAAGAAACTCTAAATGCGACTTTTGTCATGATTTAGTATCAATGTGCAGTAACTAAGTGTAGAACAAGCTTAAATTCGATTAAAATGCCAATTCTGGATAAAAATCTGTTTTCAATGTCATTTTTCGTTTCCGGTTCAATTTGAAGTTGCTCACCGAAAAACATGAAAAAACGTCCAACAGGGGCCGCAACCCGCTGGTAACAATGATATGTGTTACAAATAAATAAATAAATAAATAAATAAATAAATAAATAAATAAATAAATAAATAAATAAATAAATTAATTAATTAATTAATAAATAAATAAATAAATAAATAAATAAATAAATAAATAAATAAATAAATAAATAAATAAATAAATAAATTAATAAATAAATTAATAAATAAATTTAAAACAAGTAAATAAATAAATAAATAAATAAATAAATAAATAAATAAATAAATAAATAAATAAATAAATATATATATATATATATATATATATATATATATATATATATATATATATAATACTATTTGAAGACTGGTGTATACTGTAATTGCATTAATATTTTATGACACCTTTTGACGCATAAATTAACAATACAACATGAACATAACAGTAAATATATGCAATATTATATGTATTATATATATATATATATATATATATATATATATATATATATATATATATATATATATATAATACAAGCGATACTCTGCTTTATTTATAGTTACATAAAAACGCATTAGTATTTAAATACAATTATTAAAGTTTCTTCTTTTTTTTTTTTATTTAATTGCCGTAATTAATAATCGTTTTTTTTTTAAATATTTTTTGGTAGAAATTTCATTGTGTCATTTCTCAATGAATTCTTCCCGTCAAACAGACCCTAGCCAAACGTGCTTGTCAAAAAAATTATACCCGGTGTAAAAATCATGATGCGCTGAAGGAAGGTATAGACTCCAAAAGTCATATGCAGGTCGCTCGCTTCGTCAGTTTCGACGCAGGAAGAAAATCGATCACCGTCCGTGAGGTCCTTGGCAAGTTGAGGGAAGGGGGTGGGATCACCAACTTGGAGGGAGAACAAAGGGGTTTTGGAGTCCGCTTGGTTGAGAGCTCCCTCTTCTGCTGGCACAGATTCCACTTGTACGCCTTAGGGGAAAAAATATATGATACACAATTGGAAAAACCTTTTTTTTTTGCTTTAATAATATGATTAGTTTTGCTATACGTGTTACATTTACTGATGTTTTAGTAACAATCCAAAATTACCACAATTAGCTGAACACATATTATAGAACACGACTAACAAACCATCGCGCGCCATTTGAACATGATGACGCGCTTTTGACTTAGAGGCCCCCCCCCCCCCAATCCTCGCTCCACGCCCAACACGGCCGTGACGACGCATGTGGATATATATATCTATATATATATATATATATATATATATATATATATATATATATATATATATATGTATATGTATATATATATATATATATATATATATATATATATATAGATATATATATATATATAAATATATATATATATATATATATATATATATATATATATATATATATATATATATATATATATATATATATATATATTTCTGAAATGGAGGGAAAATGTTGAGGCCCTATGTCCCATAAGGAACAAAGAGAACTAAGTCAAGTAAGTCATAAAAAAAAGTTTTCTGGCAACAAAAATTTGAAACCAGCTTTTCATGCCTATTAAGTATACTTGTCAACTTATTATGCGCCACTGTAGACTCCGATTTCAGTCTACTTTTCTTTTTGGATTTGCAACCATGAGCTTTACCGACTCGACCACGCCGACCCCTTGTTACGATTACAATACCTCCTTATATATATATATATATACTAGCTGCAAAATTCTGTCGTGGAGGTAACAGAAACAGATGAACTCTGCTTCACCTACCCCATGGACGTTTCTGAGATTGAGACGATTACTCGAAACACATTTGTAATACAAATAAATGTTTAAAAATTATAATAAATATCGACGTTGCATAGAAAAAGTTCTTTATTGACTTTTTAAAAATGAAAATGCTTTTGAAAGCTTAATGTAAAACATGAGTCTTACGCCATGAAACTTAATATACATTTAAAAGAAAATTCAAATTCAATTATTTTTATCAATCACGTTGTGTAAAAAATCTAGTTTAAAAAGATCTCAAATGAAAGACATGGTATTAAATTAAATATTATATATTTTTTTTTCAATCAATTATACTTTAAAATAATCAACGTTTTGTAAACAACCTAGCTCGAAAAGAAATGAATTGAAAGAGATTGTATTTAATAATCAAATTCCTTGCAAAAACCATCCAATAAACAAAATAGATTGTAATGACAAGATAGAGCACCAAGACAGGTTTAAAAGTGAACTTTACTTAATATTTTTTAAGCTTTTATTATTATTTAAGTAAATTAGGGGTCATCCATAAATGACGTCACGCTTTTTTGGACGATTTTTACCTCCCGCCCCTCCCCTCCGTCACACGTCGTCACAAAAAAGCCAGACCCCCATCTAAAATGACGTCACACCTCAACCTACAACCCCCCTCCCCTTTCAAAATTGCAGTTGAATTTTTTTTAAACATCGATATTTTCCAAAATCTTGTCTAAACTATTACAATTTATTAAAACAGTTATCTAAAACGCGAAATAACGTCTAAAATTCGTTTTCTAACATTGCTTTTTTTATAATGCAACAATGTGACGTCGCAACATCTGACCCCCCCCCCCCTCCCCCTCATTCACACATCGTCACAAAATTACGGACCCCCCCTCCCCCCTACGAGTGTGACGTCATTTATGGATGACCCCATTAAGTAAAGTTCACTTTTAAACCTGATGGTCCATGGGGCAAGTGAAGTAGAGTTCACCTGTTTCTGTGACCTCAGCATATGAAGGGATAGTGTAGTCAGCACTATGCTCAGCCACCTAACTTTCGCTAACGTGAGTTAGCACCTAGGTGACGGTCTAGACTTGGACCCAGAATGCCTTTCCTCCGTCCATCGTCTTTAAGTTGTACGTTCGTCATACAGACTACTTTACCTCCGTCCAACATCTTCATGATGTATGTCATACAGACTACCTTACCTCCGTCCAACATCTTCATGCTGTATGTCATACAGACTACCTTACCTTCGTCCAACATCTTCATGCTGTAAGGCCATACAGACTGTAAGTCATACAGACTACCTTACCTCCGTCCAACATCTTCATGCTGTATGTCATACAGACTACCTTACCTCCGTCCCAACGTCTTGTATGTATGTCATACAGACTACCTTACCTCCGTCCAACGTCTTCATGCTGTAAGGCCAAACAGACTGTAAGTCATACAGACTACCTTACTCGTTCAACGTCTTGTATGTAAGTCATACAGACTACCTTACCTCCGTCCAACGTCTTGTATGTATGTCATACTGACAACCTTACCTCCGCTCACGTGAAACGAAGACGCCTTTTGTTCCGTGTCGACCAAGATTTCCATCTTCTGTACAACCCTCGGCCTCTCCAATGAACTGTCGCCGTATTATCATCCCCAATCACCACAGTGTAATCCTCAGCCATAGGTACCATTGATTGTGACGCCTCGTCCCATATTTGTATGTTAAATGCTTCTTTTGAAATTTTACTTAAATCAGCTATAAAATGAAACATAAATTGGGCTTATATAAATATATAAATATACATACATAAACAGCAACGACACTATTGCTTGTAATAAGACAATGGCGATGCACGTAAGATGCATGTCATGTGTCGTTGTTTACATGTTGTTTTTAGATTCTATAGCGATGACTGACTGACTGACACACTACCTGGCCGCTATATTATTAATATATAAATCTATATACGTATATGTTTATTTATGTTTATGTTTATACATATATATATATATATATATATATATATATATATATATATATATATATATATATATATATATATATATATATATATATGTGTGTGTGTGTGTGTATATATTTGGCACCCCTCTACGTTCCTGATACCTGGGCGGTCACCAAAGTGTGTTCTTCCTCATTATTTCGCTGAGTGATGGACGCACACTCAATGTTTTCACGCGGTAGTGTAGGTAAACCCGTGTCCCGATATTTATGATTCAAGCGCAGGCATTGTTTTCATTTAAATAACTCACTTTTAGAAAACAATGTCACGCGTTTAAGAATATAAGATTGGCAAAGCACGCACGGATGAAACCCTTCTTATATATTTTGTAAGACTTTCTTCTATCCCCCCCCCCCCCACCGCAGCAACGCGCGGGACGGGCACGCTAGTATAAGATACTCTGTTTAAATAACCTCTTAAAAATTAACGACACTTCTAAAACCATCTTTCCTTATTAACTAAACACTTACACCCTGGTTCGAAAACAATGGAAAAAGAGTTGGTCGGTGTAGGGTCTTTAAAATTTACGCCCACTTTTACATCCTTCAGGGTAGTACTGGTGTCCTTGTTTCCGTCAAAGAGAGCGGGAGGTGTGACTTCAACGGCGAGTAGCGTCACGTCCTCTAGGGGAAACAATGTTATTATACAGAAGGGGAAACAATTATGTTATACAGTTATACAAGGGGAAACAATGCTATTATACAGAAGGGGAAACAATGCTATTATACAGAAGGAGAAACATTGCTATTGTACAGTTATACCAGGTGAAACAGTGTTATTATACAGAAAGGGAAACAATGCTTTTATACAGAAGGGGAAACAATTCTATTATACAGTTATACAAGGGGAAACAATGCTATTATACAGTTATACAATGGGAAACAATGCTATTATACAGAAGGGGAAACATGCTATTATACAGTTATACAAGGGGAAACTGCTATTATGCATAAGGGAAACAATGCTATTATACATTTATACAAGGGGAAACAATGCTATTATACAGAAGGGAAACAATGCTATTATACAGAAGGGGAAACAAGGCTATTATACAAGTGGAAACAATGCTATTATACAGTTATACAAGGGGAACAACGCTATTATACAGAAAGGGAAACAATGCTATTATACAGTTATACAAGGGGAAACAAAGCTTTTATACCTAAAGGGAAACAATGCTATTATACAGAAGGGGAAACAATGTTATTATACAGTTATACAAGGGAAACAATGCTATTATACAGAGAGGGGAAACAAGGCTATTATACAGAAGGGGAAACAATGCTATTATACAGAAGGGGAAACAATGCTATTATACAGTTATACAAGGGGAAACTGCTATTATACAGAAAGGAAAACAATTTTATTATACAGTTATACAAGGGAAACAATGCTATTATACAGAAAGGGAAACAATGCTATTATACAAAAGGGAAACAATGCTATTATACGGAACAATTCTATTATACAGAAGGGGTAACAATTATATTATACAGAAGGGGAGACAATTCTATTATACAGAAGGGGAAACAATGCTATTATACAGTTATACAAGGGGAAACAATGCTATTATACAGAAAGGGGAAACTATTCTATTACACGGAAGGGGAAACAATGCTGTTACGTGCTTGCGGTCTTAGTGTTTTTTTTTAACATGGACTTTACAGTTATACAATATGCGGTCAGACAAAAAACAAAACAACATTCAAATATACAAACAAAGCGGGAGTGATCTCCCCTAAACTATATAGAATATTCTTATAAACCAAAGTGTGTATAATATTGCGGAATATTAGTTAACGGAAATTACTCAAAATGAGATCTTTTACTTATACGTGAAATTTCGTCTATGTACCTGAAATAGTACTCAAGTTCCACTTCCGGTTACCAAAAATCGCTTAAACATTGATACAATACTACAAATTTGATATAATACTTAGGCCTATAAATATATATATATATATATATATATATATATATATATATATATATATATATACATATATATATATATATATATATTATATATATATATATTCATCAACCTAACTGTACCTCTACTCAAGTTATCGTGTTCACAGACATACATCCACACATCTACACAGATATATATATATATATATATATATATATATATATATATATATATATATATATATATATATATATATACATAAACATACGGAAAAAAAATGCAAAAATATGTTTTTCCCACTCAGGGATTACCCCCCCCCCGGGATTACCCCCCTCCCTCTACTGTACAAACATGCAAGGTTTCCATCCCTTTACCCGTCTTGCAATCCTCTCCGTACGTTCCCATTCTGCACTTGAGGTTCGAGCACGAGCCGTCCATTCGACACATCCTATTGCACGAGCACGGCTCGGAGCAGTCTTTCCCGTAGAAGTCAGGGCTGCAAACTGCACACAATAGGGCTGGTAAGTAGGTCACCAGCCAGTTCTATGGCTCATGCAGGTTTTATTGAGCCGTAGAACTGGTTGGTGACACTGTTAAAAGTATATATTTTCTATATAAATTCCATTTCGTTGACGGGGGGGGGGGGGGCGGTGTGGGGGAAGCGTGGGGGAAGTGAAAAATGGCTTCACTAGTAGCACTTATTATATAAAGTTGGACATTTAAAAAAAAATTACATGTACATACATACAACTAAATAGCAATGGCGGATAGTGGTTATTTTTTTAATGTAACATTTCAGCGTTTGTATTTTAGCGAGGTTGATCTAAGTATTAAGAAAAACAAATACTGTATGGTATTTCTTGGGACTCCAAGGTTTAAAAAAATGCATCGATATTTCAGACAATTCCTCCAATAACAGGCAGAGTGTAGAATAATAGCAACATATCAAGTGTTGGGTTAAGGGTTATGGTTGGGTCAGGTTTAGGTTTAGGTTTAGGTTTAGGTTTGGGTTTGGGTTTGGGTTTGGGTTTGGGTTTGGGTTTGGGTTAGGTTGGGTTGCGGTGGGTTGGGTTGGCTTGGGTTGGGTTGGGTTGGGTTAGGTTAGGTTAGGTTAGGTTAGGTTAGGTTAGGTTAGGTTAGGTTAGGTAAGGTAAGGTAAGGTAAGGTAAGGTAAGGTTAGGTTAGGTTAGGTTAGGTTAGGTTAGGTAAGGTAAGGTAAGGTAAGGTAAGGTTAGGTTAGGTTAGGTTAGGTTAGGTTAGGTTAGGTTAGGTTAGGTTAGGTTAGGTTAGGTTAGGTTAGGTTAGGTAAGGTAAGGTAAGGTAAGGTAAGGTAAGGTAAGGTAAGGTAAGGTAAGGTTAGGTTAGGTTAGGTTAGGTTAGGTAAGGTTAGGTTAGGTTAGGTTAGGTTAGGTTAGGTTAGGTTAGGTTAGGTTAGGTTAGGTTAGGTTAGTTATCGTCCTTCACAAGCTACTGATAGTGTTTTAAAGCAACATATATTCAGTCGCAGCATTGGTATTGTCGAATTTACAAGTTATGAATTTCTGAAATATAGGAATTAAAACAACTAAATAGCTGCGTATGCTTACGGCGCGGGTCGGTTCGTCTATCTATATATATATAATTCTCTTCTTGGAGACCATAGAAAACACCAAGCTGTAAGCGCGCTCCCTACCACTCCCACCCCTTCATGGTCTGGTGAGCTGTGATTCACGCTAAATGTTTACAATCGTAGAGCCGGGTTTAGTGACGACTATTAGGGGCAGATAATTTAGTTTGCAACGATTTTAAACTTAGGGGAGGTAACTAAGAGAAGGCTGCTTTCACGGGGGTGAGGGGAGGGGGTGGGGTAGGGGGAAATGAGGGGGGGGGGGGTATCGTTAGCGTTTTAAAGCAAATATATTCAGTGGAAGCATTAGTACTGTCGAATTCACAAATTATGAATTACTGAAGAGTAGAAAATAAAACAACTAAATAGCTGCGTATGCTACGTCGCGGGTCAGCTCGTATATATATATATATATATATATATATATATATATATATATATATATATATATATATATATATATATATATATATATATATATATATATATATATATATATATATATATATATATATATATAAATATATATATATATATATATATATATATATATATATATATATATATATATATATATATATATATATCTACGTGGGGACGATGCTGGACACCACCACCACATACATAGGCCTCGCTCCCCCCCACTCGTTCTCCAGGCCTATCGCTACTACCCCCACCCCCGCCAGTCTGGTGAGCTGTGGTTCACGACGAATGTTTACAATCGTAGAGCCGGGTTGAATTAGTGACGGCTATTAGGGGCAGATAACTTGGTATTTAAACGATTTGAAACTAAAGGGGAGGTGACAATTTCTGCTTGATTTTTTCATTGTCGACTGTAAACTGTCGACACTGACGGCTGATTTAACGGGGCGGGGGGGGGGGGGGGAATAGCGTCGAATTTATAAATTATGAATTGCTGATAAGCAGAAAATAAAACAACTAAATAGCGGCGTATGGTACTTTGCGGGTCGGCTTGTTTCTTATAAAACATGCATTTGGGGGGGGGGGGAAGAGAGAGCGAGAGACACAACGTATGGGGTTTCTAAGCAGAGAGAGAAAATTGCTTACTGATGTTAAATGGATCGTAGCTGACACTAAATGCCTTTGCAGTAGTTGCGACATTAGATATGACTTTGGCTGCCTTGGTTGGTTCTGTCGTTGGTGGAGCTGGTGGAGCTTCTGTTGTATTTTCTGGTGGTGTTGTCGGTGTTGATGTTGTAGTTTCCTCTGCGGGCTCCCGAACATTGACGTCGTAGAGTACAGGCTATATTTAAAAACAAGTTAATTAAAAAAGTCTAGTGACATTTGTGCGCAATTTCCTTATGTTATCTAAAAATAGCTCTGACGTATAATGTTGGGGTGCGTTCAAGCTAGAAGAACGATCGGTTTGTAGGTGTTTATGTAATTTTAAAATTTGTGACCGAACGAGAGGATATTTTTGAAAGCTTTCTTCGGCAATATTGTTCTAAATTATGACAGGAATCGATTGGTACATGTTTCAAGTCGCTAAGTGGTCTGGTTGCCGAGATATGGGCCAAAAACTGAATTTTTTCGAGATTTTTGGCTTTTCCGCGAAATACATGAAAGAAACCAGGAATGTTTATGGCCTATGCTCATTCTCGTAACTTGCTTAACATAATTGCTTTTGGAACTAGTCATCGATATTGCTTCGTTGAGGAGGAGATACTTAAAGCCCGGACACACATTCATCCATACATTCATTCATCCATCCATTCCCAGAAATGAATAAAAACGTTAATAAACGCAATTCTCCAGAATGGAAATTGCGCTAAAAAAAGAAGATATGATTAAAGTAGCAAAACTGTACGTGTTCGAACATTGATCTGTAACAAGTGCACACATAGAAAACATGACTTAAAGAGGTTGTATGCAAACACACCATTGCGCAAATGGCACAAATTCCCAAATAGAGAGGTTTCATCGGGGGTTTATCAAGCATATATCTCACTCGGTCTACACGTACTTTTAGCCAAACGGAAAGTCTCTTTCTGGCAAACGTCAAGCTCATATCATTTTATATATATATATATATATATAGATTCATAAATATATATATATATATATATATATATATATATATATATATATATATATATATATATATATATATATATATATATATATATATATATATATATATATATATATATATATATATATATATATATATATATATATATATATATATATATATATATATCATGATCATCATCTTTTCCCGTTCGTGCCCAAGACTCATGGGGCAGATGAAGTAGAGTTAATCTCTTTCAAAGACATCGCCATATGAAGGGATAGTTTGGTCAGCACTATGCCATTCAGTGCTGGGTGGACTCAGGGACGTTCTACTTACTTGAACCCGGGTTCGAACTCGAGACTTTCATCTTAGCAGTCTAGCTCTCTACCGCTATATATATATATATATATATATATATATATATATATATATATATATATATATATATATATATATATATATATATATATATATATATATATATATATATATGTGTAAATAAATAACTTACATCTAATAGTCCTGGCGGTCCAAAGTTAGGAAATCCATAATACAATTTTGCCGTGTCTCCGCCGTGTATAAAAATAGATATATTCTTTGTTGAAGTAATCTTCGCCGGTTCGGCGCTGATTCTTACATTCCCAGTATATATTTTGTCAGCCACATGTATTGGAGCCATATCTCTGTGGAATGTTTTTTTTCAATAGCTACAAAGCAAATATCTAGCTCTTCCCCTTACCAAACTGTAAAGAGCAGCATGAATTTATTGCTAAATATATCGATACATTTTAATTTTTCAATTTTTTTTAAAGAGTTAAAATTAGAAAACCACCCTTTTCTTAAAGTTTTGAAAACGTGAATACTATGCCTTAAATATATGGTGAGATAACATTCTAATCTTAATTTTTTTATAATTTATAAAATTATATACAGTTGCGTTGTCATCATGGAATTTTAAAAGAAATAGAGCTTGGTCACACACCGAAACTGCGGGTTGTTGTACTCGGTAAATCCTCTCAAGACACGAATACACAAAGTTTCCTTTATAATGTCATAACGGGGATACATAAACCAGCGTCAACCTCCCCCCCCCCTCATCCCCTAACAACTTACGGCACAGCCAATGGATCTCCATTTAGTGTGAGATTGTCAAAGGCCTCTTTAGGGCCGGTGATGGTTAAATCGACTTCTGAAATGTCTCTGTGTAAAGGGGTTCTATGGAGTAAAAATATTTGACATCGTATCCAATTGAAAAAAAAATCAATAATTTGCTTATATATATATATATATATATATATATATATATATATATATATATATATATATATATATATATATATATATATATATATATATTGTGGATTCAAGTCTTAAATGGATGTTCTATAGGACAAACATGTTCAGACAAAATATCTGATAATCAAACATTTCTGACGACAAAATATCACAGGTCAAATCATTTCACGGGAAAATGAGCTCAGGACATATGATCTAAAGAACAAATTAATCTTTTCAGAAAAATACCCTTGATCAAGTTTAGTCCAACTGGTTTGGATGGATTGTGTCATATTAGACAAGCTCTTCTTCATTGTTTTGCTAACGTTTGTTTTAAACTTCATTTTTTTAAAACACTAATTGCCATTTAAAAAAAATAATGTAATGTGACAAGCGTATACAACAAACGTTTTCTCACAATTATTTTTTGTTAAAAAAAATCATAAATAAAAATTTTGAAATCTACAAATGTCATCCCATATAATATACACATATTTGCTGTGAAAAATTTGTTTGAGGTATTTTAGCTGACATCGTTTATCCAAGATATCATTTGTCCGTGAGATATTCTGTCTGAGATAATTTCTCAGAGATCATTTGTCCGTAAGATATTCTGTCTGAGATAATTTCTCTGAGATCATTTGTCCGTAAGATATTCTGTCTGAGATAATTTCTCAGAGATCATTTGTCCGTAAGATATTCTGTCTGAGATACTTACAGTATCACATGGTCAGCCTGGTACTGTTGTAAAGCCAACACCCGAAAATACTCAAAACCGGTATATTTAATAGCGTAAAGGTCAGTCTCCACGGTGGCATCCAGCTTCGCTAAAAATTTTAGCTGAAAATATATTTTTTTAATTCTTCTTCTTCTTCGTTCTTAATTATTAGTGTTGAAGGGGATCGAGATTTATCTGCCAGTGGGTTTGAACTTGAGACTTTGTTCGAATTTATCAACCATGAGCTTTTTGCCGACTCGACCACGCCTCCAACACAATTAAGCGTTACGTGTCAACTGGTTATGCGCCATTGAGGCCATTGACTCCGATTTCAGCCTGCTTTTATTTTTGGATTTGCTTCCATAGCTTGTCCAACCAAGAACAAGCTACAAGGCAGCAGTTGTTTTTAATTTTGGAGTTGTCTCTCCTAGAAGAGTGGCTGTCCCCAGCTAACGAGCCTCATCTGCCCGAGGGTTCGAACTCGAGACTTTACCGACTCGACCACGCCGACCCCTTCTTTTAAATTAAATGTTAAAGTATTGATAACTTAAAAAAAACATCCACGTACACAGAACAAAATGTTTAACTTAAAACAGTCGAAGGCCCAGACAAGCAACGACATTATGTTTATAGAATTAAAAAACAACAACTTGTGAATCACCGACGAATAACTGTACAGTTATTTTTTTTTAAAGTTTTTTTTTAAAAAATTATTATTGAAAGGTACATACGCTTTTTCATTTGCATACGCATACGTTTGAGATTTGGACAACACAAGGCAACTTGTTACATTCAATTGGCATCGATATATTCAAACGTTTAAAGAAAAAAAACCTTAAAACAATAATTTGGCAATGATTCAAATCATTCTAACAGTCATTCTTACCTCGAAAAGGGACCCTGGCCTAGGGTTAGTGTAAGTGGTCTTAGTACCATTTCTATACTCGACGCTTATGGTACCAATAACCGATTGTGAAGTCGAAAAGTAGTATGTAGATTCAACAAGTACCCCGCGTCTTTTTAATCTTTGCCCATAAATAGTATAACGCGCTTGCCGTGGTGGATTATAGACGATTTCTACAGTATAGAAATAAAAATATCAATGAAAAGGCGTAGAATGTATACATTTTAATATTTATGTAAGTATAAGTTATTACTCAGCCTCCAAAATATTTCGGATGGCATTGCGTCTCCTAATTAATAAATTTAAGTGGGCGATGATAACGATGTCATTTTGAAAAGGGATTTTATAGTATGTAATTAAAAATGCCTTTTTACTTTCTCGTATATACGTAGTATAGAGAAAGTATTGTAATCGTGCAAAAAAAAATAATCGAGATTTTTACAAATCTCGACGTTTTACACCTCACTGATACGGAAAAACATAATTTTGCAATCTTGTCCGTATGTCTGTGTGTGTGTGTGTCTGTGTGTCTGTGTGTAAACACGATAACTTGAGTACCGTTACAGCTAGGTTGATGAAATTTCATATATAAGTATTATATCACAATCGTAGATCCGTATCAACTTTTGAGCGATTTCCGACAACCGGAAGTGGTACTTTTTCTACTTTGAATTTTTCAAAAGCCTATAACTTGAGTACTATTTCAGATAGATAAATGAAATTTCACATGTAAGTAAAAGATCTAATTCTCTACCTTCTGTTAAATTTTGAGTAATTTCCGTTTATCGGAAGTACTTATTTACGCTACTTCCAATTTCTCAAAAACGCATGTAAATTTATAAAGTACTAATAATATTGCGCACTATTATGCACATCTTTATTTAGCGTTCACTTGGTGTGCATTTCTTTTTTCTACGAGATTATATTCTATTTTAAAAAATTTGAGTATTTAAAATGGATTAAAAATCATGTCTAGAAGTCTATATCCCGAGTTGACATCCCCCGTAGTGTTATATTAGAATATTCGAGAAAGTTTAGGGGAGATCACTCCCGGTTTATTTAAATGATGTAATTAAAAATGCCTTTTTGAAATTCTGTAATTTAAATAAATAACATTAATTATTTAGCATTCTTTAATTGTGTAAAAATAAACCCGTGTATTACAATAAATGCAATACGTCAGGGAGTGTTGTATGCTTGTTTAACGAATGATGCCATTTTGATGAACAATGACATTTACAGCTCAATTTAGGTCCGTACCTAAGTTAATTTTGGCCAAAGGTATAATTTCTATTTATGATAGTATTAGAGTCATATACCCTGCGTGATGAACTGGACAGAGCCAACAGAGCGAAAGAAAACTGCAAACAGGCAAACACAATGAAAAACAGACACACGACGAAGTTAAAAAGAAAGCAAAATAAGTAAAATGAATAAAATAAAACAAAGATAAATAAACATGTAATAATAATACGCTTCTAAATGTACTGAAAAAATTAAAATAAAAAACGAATTTGTTTTATTTAATAAAAGCCTTTGTCTCTCTTGAGAAATGTAACATAGGTTAGCGACCATCGCTTTTAGTAAAGAAATTTTCTTTTTTTCAGTGCATTTTATAGCTTTTATATTCGTTTTATTTTTGTTCAAAATCATATTGACACTACATAGTGTGCGAGAAAATATATCTCAGTCCATAAGCTTGTGAATTTCGGTTATCTACCCCTACTGAGTTTGAGGTCTAAAATTAGGGTTAAAATATCAGTCGACAAACCGTGAAAAACAATTCATCCTTTGTCTACGCGATCGCTAGGTTTTTTTTGTTATCTCCCCTTTCATTAGTGAATATGGTAATTTTTATATTAATCTAATTAGCTCTAAAAATATATTCTTGCATTATTAAAGAAGAAGATTTCTGGAAAGTTGAATGTATCCCCTGCATTAGAAGTGGTTCAAATTAAATTAACAAAATTGGCTAGAGATGAACAAACAAACGGATGTTGTGATTAGATAGACTTGGATAAGGGCCAGTGGCGTAGTGGGGGGGGGGGGGGGGGCGGACCGCACCGGGTGACACCATTTAGGGGAGGGGGGTGACACCAAGGCAAAAAATGGCAAAATATATAGAGAAAAAGGATAATTCCACTTAATTAAGTGATTAATTCGAGTGTTAAATAGTCTTTTAAGAGGTACAAATCGAAAGTTTGAAAGGGGGGGGGGGGTGTGTGCAAATCGAAAGTTTGAGGAGGGTGGTGCGAATCGAAAATTGATAGTTTGTCCCTTGGGAAGGGTCGCTACGTCTCTGGGGGGGGGGGGGTGACACCATTAAGTGCCGCACCGGGTGACACTCGACCTCGCTACGCCACTGATTAGAACAGTTTCGAAAGGCACACATGGGGAGCTCTAGTTACCCGCTGAAAAATCTTTTGTGCCGGCCGTCCCAAGAAGTAACATCCCATAGGCTTGAGTGGCGGTAAAATATTCGGCTGAAGTGTGAAAAATATTTTTATTCATCTAATATTCAAACGGACTAGATAAAACATCGTCTAAAGTTATCAAACAATATAATCTAATTATGATAGTTTTGTGTACTTTACCGTGCGTTTTCAAGAAGCTGTTTGGCTTGACATAGGCCCTAAACAGATATGGTTGGTACCTACAAGAGGAACCCTTGTTATGAGTTTAAAAATACAATACAAAATAAAAATGTTAACATGAACCACAGTAACGCATAAATTCATTTAAAGTTTGTATCAAATGTCTACACAACGTCATTGTTTGTGATGATTTGAAGAGACTATACATGGTACTGAGTGGCTTAGTGGCAGAGCGCTGGACTGCTAACCCGTTACTCTTGAATAGACCGTCCCTGAGTCCACCCAGCTCTATTCGGTACCGAACACGCGTTAGGGAAAGTAAAAGCTGATGGGCATAGTACTGACCACACTATCTCGTAATATGACGAAGTCACAGAAATATGTCAACTCTAATTTTCTTGCTCCGTAGACCGTCATATACTTACAAAATCAAAATTTTAAGAAAAACGTTTTAACTTTACAAACATTTCTTGTAATCGCTTGGAGGTTTATGTGAAATAGGCCTACGTTTGTGTCCAAAAATATTTTCATAATTGTTTTCTGCGTGTTTTTGGTCCTAAGGTTTTTTCTCAAGTTGTCAAACGACAGAACACCATTTTGCTTTGAAAAACAGTTCTTATGTTCTATGAATTTTTCGTTCAGGGTTCTAATTCTGTCTCTTATAACTTTTTTTATGCAACATAAAATCTGTATTAACTGTAAAAGAACTATAATTACACTTAGCTTATGTTTAAATATTTGTGGTAAAATCAATTGTTAGAAAAGTGTTCATTTTTACACAGCTGTTAAGATCTATTTTTCATTTTTTAAAAGAGTTAAAATATTTACGGTAAAACATCAAAATTTTCATCGGTGGTAATTTTGGTTAACAAACGGTATCCTCCCTCAAGTTCCAAATAAGCTTCATAATGGGTAACCGACACCCTCTGAGAGACTAAACTCAACACAAGAACTTTCCAATACACTCTGAAAAAAATGCAAACATGCATAGATACAATGATTAGGATAATCATCTAATACAATCTGATCTAATCCGACTTAATATCTAATTTTAAAAAAATAATTAAAAATGAGGGGTAGTCTCTAACAACTCGAATGACACGGATATACCGGCTCAGGAGTTGGACTCCCATTAGCCAGGCAGGCCTCGAGGTAACCAGTTGGACTCCCATTAGCCAGGCAGGCCTCGAGGTAAGCAGTTGGACTCCCTTTAGCCAGGCAGGCCTCGAGGTAACCAGTTGGACTCCCATTAGCCAGGCAGGCCTCGAGGTAAGCAGTTGGACTCCCTTTAGCCAGGCAGGCCTCGAGGTAACCAGTTGGACTCCCATTAGCCAGGCAGGCCTCGAGGTAGCCAGTTGGACTCCCATTAGCCAGGCAGGCCTCGAGGTAACCAGTTGGACTCCCATTAGCCAGGCAGGCCTCGAGGTATGCAGTTGGACTCCCATTAGCCAGGCAGGCCTCGGGGTAAGCAGTTGGACTCCCATTAGCCAGGCAGGCCTCGAGGTAACCAGTTGGACTCCCATTAGCCAGGCAGGCCTCGAGGTTAGCAGTTGGACTCCCATTAGCCAGGCAGGCCTCGAGGTAAGCAGTTGGACTCCCTTTAGCCAGGCAGGCCTCGAGGTAAGAAGTTGGACTCCCATTAGCCAGGCAGGCCTTGAGGTAAGCAGTTGGACTCCCATTAGCCAGGCAGGCCTCGAGGTAAGAAGTTGGACTCCCATTAGCCAGGCAGGCCTCGAGGTAACCAACTCCAACTAACTGGCTAAAGCATGGACTGAAGGCAGTCTCACGAAGACTCTCTAACAACTAATTCGGGACGGAAAGTGACGACTTGAAACATCTTTTTCTTCTCAAAGTAATGGACGCGACCCATGGAACTAAATTTGAATAGCCAAAAACATTAGTCGTCATTTAAAACAAGGAAGTCCAAACGACCAAAGAGCACTTTATTTTGAAAACGCAGCTAAGAACGCTTTCACGTCTTTTAATTATTCTATAGGCCTAAGTTTTTGCCTCAAATAATTATCATTACATTTTTTTTTTAAAAACCCACGTTTTCTGATTGAACTAAAAAGTTTTTTGTTCATTCAATAGGAGGCCAGAGAAGGGAAAGTACCGAACCTTGTTTTTATCAAATTACAATTACTAGGTTATGTCCCTTTTTTGTACAAATCAACAGGAGTTTAAAATGATCAATAAAATTTTTCCATGGATCAATTTAGTAATAATAATAATAATTGAATATTGTATTGTCATCGGAAACAAAGCTTCCCTGAAAATTTCAGCGCGCTAGCTAACAGGGAAGTGCCCGAATTTTCGATTGCAAGATTTGATGGAAAGACAAACAGACGCGAAAGCAAGTTAAAGAAAACGTGGGAAAAAATAGTTGCTACATTTTTTTTTGCATAAAAGTTTCAACACGTAAAAAAAATTACTGTTCACGGATACTGATAAATTAAAATTATTAAATAAATATTCTTGACAGATTGTATACACTTCTCTTCACAATTTCGTGCAATTATTTCGCGAGCATGTTTTAATTTCTTTCTTGTTTTGCGATGAACGTAAACCTGGCTAACTATTATGTACACACGAGCCGACCCGCGGCGTATCATATGCCGCTATTTAGTTGTTTTATTTTCTACTTTTCAGTAATTCATAATTTTTGAATTCGACAGTACTAATGCTGCCACTGAAAATATTTGCTTTAAAACACTATCAGTAGGTCGTTAAGGTCGATACCACCCTCATTTCCCCCAACTTCTACCCCTAACCCCCCCCCCCCCCCCTCCTTGAAACTCAAACTCCTCTAAGTTACCTCCCGTAAGTTTAAAATCGTTTCAAACTTAAATTTCTGCCACTAATAGCCTTCACTAAACCTGGCCCTACGATTGTAAACATTTAGCGTGAACCACAGCTCACCAGACCATGCAGGGGTGGGGGTGGTAGGGAGCGCGCTTACAGCTTGGTGTTCTCTATCGTCTCCAAGAAGAGAATTATATATATACGAGCCGGCCCGCGGCATAACATACGCCGCTATTTAGTTGTTTCTAATTTTCAATAATTCATAATTTGTGAATTCGACAGTACCAACGCTGACACTGAAAATATTTCTTTAAAACACTATAAGTAGCTCGTTAAGGACCATAACTCCCCCCCCTTCCTCCCCCCCCTCCCCCCCCCCCCCTACGTTTAAAATCGTTGGCTCTGCTTGTAAACATTTAGAGTGAACACAGCTCACTAAAACCATGTAGGGGTGGGGAGGTAGGGAGAGCGTTTACAGCTTGTTTTCTAACGGCTCGAAGAGGAGAATTATATATATACGAGCCGGCCCGCGGCATAACATACGCCGCTATTTAGTTGTTTCTAATTTTCAATAATTCATAATTTGTGAATTCGAAAGTACCAACGCTGACACTGAAAATATTTCTTTAAAACACTATAAGTAGCTCGTTAAGGACCATAACCCCCAACCCCCTTTCCTTACCCCCCCTCCCCCCCCCCTACGTTTAAAATCGTTGGCTCTGCTTGTAAACATTTAGAGTGAACACAGCTCACTAAAACCATGTAGGGGTGGGGAGGTAGGGAGAGCGTTTGCAGCTTGTTTTCTAACGGCTCGAAGAAGAGAATTATATATATATATATATATATATATATATATATATATATATATATATATATATATATATATATATATAGATGGTATGCATGCAGTAAATAACTTACGTGCTGGGGCGCAACTTAAGGCCGTAATGTTTACTCCAGAAAGAGGGTGGGACAGACCGGACAACGCCGTAGTTGGTATTGGCATCATACGTCATGGCAACATAATCAAAGTTGTTCTCCCCCACCATCTCGATCACAAAATAGGCAAGATCCTTCAGGCCCGGCCTATAAAAAAAAAACCGCATGATGAGGTGCAAACTCAAACACTGCGGCCTACAACAAACTTAAATAAATAAACCGGGAGTGATCTCCCCTAAACTTTCTCGGATATTCTTATATAAAATTACGAGGGATGGCAACTCAGGACATAGACAATATTTGTAATCCATTTTTAATTACTTAAACTTTTTATAATAGAATGGAATGTCGTAAAAAAAAAAAGAATTGCACACTAAGTGAACGCCTAATAAAATGTGCATAATAGTGCGGGATATTATTAGTAGTTTATAAATTTACGTGCGTTTTTTGAGAAATCGGAAATAGTGTTAGTTACTACTTCCGGTCAACGGAAATTACTCAAAATTTTATAAAAGGCAGAGAATTAAATCTTCTACTTTCGTGTGGAATTTCATTTATCTATCTGAAATAGTATTCAAGTTATAGGCTTTTTGAAAAATTCAAAGTAGAAAAAGTTCCACTTTCGGTTATTGGAAATCGCTCACAAGTTAACACTGATCTACGATTTTGATAAAATACTTATGTATGAAATTTCATCAACTAGCTGTAAAGGTACCCAAGTTATCGTGTTTACACACACACACAAAGACACACACACACATACATTCACACACAGACATACGGACAAGATTGCTAAAACTATGATTTTCCAAATCACATAGCTGTACTGTAAAACGTCGAGATTTGCAAACTTAGTACTTCCAATTACTTACAGTTACCCTTTGATATTCAAAAGTTGATAAAAATCTGCATATACTATCTCAAATGTATATGTCAAATTTGATCTATCTAGCGGAAATGATACTCAACTCAGCTTATAAGAAACCGAAGTGGAGTAAGTGCCATTTCCGGATACCGGAAATATCTCAATAGTTGCCAGAAAGCTACAAAATCGACACAATATTTAGATATGAAATTTCGGCAACCTAACTGAACCGGTGCTCGTGTTATCGTGTTTACACACATTCACACTCACACGTACACGCAAACAAAAAAAATCCAAACAAACTGATATTGTAAGAGTAGTATATTAGGTCCCTTTTGGGTCGCATTTGGGTGGCGCAAAGGTTATATAGCAAAATACTCGTGGCCGCAGGAACAATGACATATAACAAAATACTCCCTAGGGTGGCGCAAAGACATATAGTAAAATACTCCCACCACCTGGTGGTGGAGCAGTGGGGGTGGGGGGTGGAGAAGAGTGGGGGAGAGGGGGAGTAGTGGTGACCTGGGGGTGGTGGTGGTGTCGCAGCATGGGGTTTGTTTATTTGATTTCTTTGTATGTGTGTTTAATAGTAAACGGAGAGGGGTGGTTGAGGGGAGGGGTGAGTAATGATGGGTTTGAGGGTAGGGGTGTGCTAGTTGTACTTTGTGAATAACATCCATTAACCAGACATGTAACACCTGTTACGTATCGACCGCCCGCGAAGTTTTCAGGGCTGTGCGTTTTTTTAATGGGAATGTATTGATCGCACCCACGGGGCCATCACACCTAATTAAATTTTTTTGTTATGCTTCACCGAGTTTCCCCCGAGCGGTTGACAGGTTATGGTAATTTACGACGTACATTAAGTGCCTCTCCGTGAAGTACGTAGGTCATTATGCAACAACTGTTGTGCGACAGCTGGTGGTGTAATTAGGCGGATCAACCGGACATTACCTATTTTGTTTATTTTTAATTTTATTTTATTTTATAATTAGTTAAATTATTATTAACTAGTTACGTAATTTGATTTTTTTTTTTTTTAAATTTTTAAAATTTTTTTTTTTTAAATTATTATTTTTAAATTTTATTTTTAATTGTTGTTTACTTGTTGTTTAATTTAATTACTTTGTATAATTTATTTGTTTGAAATTCATTTTAATTAGTTTGCTGTTAATTATTGGCGACAGATATTACCAAGCGGGTGGTGGTGGTGGTGGTGGTGGTGGTGGTGGTGGTAAATTTGCTTAAGATTATAAACTTCAAGTTTTAAAAATCAACAACGTTATGGACCATTCAGCAACACAACGAACGGTTACCGAAAATAGAACATCCATTTAACCACATCTGTTACTTATCGATCCGTGATCCTTTGTTGACACGCGCTGCGCTTTTAATGGGAATGTATTGATCGCACCTACTGACCATCAGTATGATGGTCCATCTATGTGTAATTTTTTATTAACGAGTTACGTAATTTGATTTTAATTTTTTAAATTTTTAAATTTTTTTTTTTAATTTAATTTTATAATTAGTTTAATTATTATTAACGAGTTACGTAATTTGATTTTAATTTTTTAACTTTTTAAATTTTTTAAATTATTATTTTTAAATTTTATTTTTAATTGTTGTTTACTTGTTGTTTAATTTAATTACTTTGTATAATTTATTTGTTTGAAATTCATTTTAATTAGTTTGCTTTTAATTTCTTTGTTGTACGCCGTTTGAAATAAAAGACTAACACTAGCGTGTACTAGAAAGTGTCATTGTGTATAACATCCATTTAACCACAGCTGTTACTTATTAGCGACAGCTTGTACTTATCGATCCGCCCGTAATCCTCCCAGGCGCTCCCCGTGGTTGCTTAATAGCGGGCTCACTGAAGCGATCACAACAGGTAATTAATCGAAGCCATTAAGTCCCTCTCCGCGTTAAGTGTGGCGACAGCTGGTGCTGTAATTAGTCACGGCTCTCGGCTTTTTTCATTAGACTACAGCTGTACATGAACTATGTTCACATATCGTACGCCCGGTCATTCTTTGATCAAATTAAAAAATTTTGTTTCCACATGTCATGCGTACCGTCCCTTGCTATGTATGAAAGATTAATGGTTGTAACTATTCGCTTATAGCGAGGGTCAGCGAAAACAAAAATATATTTAAGGGTCGGAATTTTCTTTCAACCACCGTTAAGTCAGGTTTTGAGACGAAACGAAGTCTCGGTAGGTTCGTGTTTTTTAATGGGCGACAGGGCGACTTGGTGCGTTGGTACGTAGGTATGCGGGGTAGACATGTTTTTTACAAGTCTGGAAAAGTAATTACGTTTTTTATGACCGTTCCGATTTTCTTTTGATCTGACCACCATTTGACCACACTGAGCCAGATAAATTTAACAATTGTCGCAGCGGGGTTTATTTTAAGTGCACCCCGTGCACGCTTGTTTACATTTTAAAAGACGTGTCGCGTGTCTTCCCCTTACGGCTTCCCTAATAGAGAAACGAGAGGAAAGACAACTGTTCTAAAATTACAACAACCTTGTCTACAGACACGAGTATCGTCCCTTGTGAAAAAATTCGCGTCAGAATCCTTAACTAAACAGTCAATTTCTTTAAAAAGTTAAAAAATAATTTAGGAAGACAAGGGTTAACAAAATATATATCTTAGTCTTGCAGCAGATTACCTTCCCATGTTCGCTTTAGTATTACAGTTTTCATCAATCTTCTTTTTGACTTGAACTTCTTTAATTTTTAAGAAAGTTAACTTATACATAATACATTACGTCTAATGACAATTTTTTTATTTTTACCACTCAATGTATTTTCTTTTTCTATATCTTACATTGTCATCTTAATTTTTGATCACCTTAGGTGGTGGTAAGGTGGTAAGGTGGTGGTAAGGTGGTGGTAAGGTGGTGGTAAATTTGCTTAAGATTATAAACTTCAAGTTTTAAAAATCAACAACGTTATAGTACGTCGTGTCAAATGACACACCGTTAAAATGTCTACATTTAAAGTTCACCAAAATAATGACGTAAAAACTAAATATGATATGACGTTAGCATACATATCATTCAATCTAATCACTCTAAAGTACAAATCAATAATTTTGATTGATTAAGGGGCTGGGTGAGTTATTTTTATCACTATTCGCCCTTCCCCTTCCCTTTGTCCACAACCCCGTTCCCCTTCTCCCATCCAACCTTGCGTCATCACACTAACCTCAATACCAACCGCTAGATAAACAGACCGTACTACTACTCACACTATTCCTTGGACAGACAAAGGCTGTATGACAATCCTACAGACAAATATTTATTCAACTAATATTACAACCCCCTAGAAACCACTCCAACAGACTGGGATACATAACTTGTAGACACCACTCCTCGTTGAATATCTCTTGCACCCTACCTACATCGACAACTTTGTCCGCCACCCTCGCCCCCGTCCCTAGTATGAACTCGGTTACCAACAATTTCAAAACATGCATGTTCCGAGTTCAAAACCAACCTTCACCGACACTAGTATGAACTCGACCCCTAACACTTCCAAAACATGCCTGTACTAACTTTGAAACCACTTCGGTGAAAACTTCACCGACCCTAGTATGGACTCTACACCTATCGATTCCAAAACACGCATGTTCCGAGTTCAAAACCAACCTTCACCGACACTAGTATGAACTCGGCTACCAACAATTCCAAAACATGCATGTTCCGAGTTCAAAACCAACCTTCACCGACACTAGTATGAACTCGGCTACCAACAATTCCTAAACATGGATGTACCAACTTTGCAACTTACCTCGGTGTTAACGAAAACTCCCCTGACCCTAGTATGGACTCTACACCGACTGATTCCAAAACATACATGTTCCGAGTTCAAAACCAACCTTCACCGACACTAGTATGAACTCGGCTACCAACAATTCCTAAACATACATGTAACACCTTTGCAACCTGCCTCGGTGAAATCATCTCCGACCCTAGTTTGAACTCGGCTGCCAACAATTTCAAAACATCCATGTTCCGAGTTCAAAACCAACCTTCACCGACACTAGTATGAACTCGACCCCTAACACTTCCAAAACATGCCTGTACTAACTTTGAAACCACTTCGGTGAAAACTTCACCGATCCTAGTATAGACTCTACACCTATCGATTCCAAAACACGCATGTTCCGAGTTCAAAACCAACCTTCACCGACACTAGTATGAACTCGGCTACCAACAATTCCAAAACATGCATGTTCCGAGTTCAAAACCAACCTTCACCGACACTAGTATGAACTCGGCTACCAACAATTCCCAAACATGCATGTACCAACTTTCCAACCTGCCTCAGTGCTAACAAAATTCCCCGACCCTAGTATGAACTCGACTGCCATCAATTCCTAAACATCCATGTACCGACTTTGTAACCTGCCTCGGTGAAAACTTCACCGACCTTAGTTTAACTCTCCCTAACAATTCCAATGATGCATGTACGAACTTTGTAACCTGCCTCGGTGTTAACAAAACTCCCCCGACCCTACTATAGACTCGACCCCTAACAATTCCAAAATATGCATGGTCTAGCTTCGAACCTCCCTCGGTGAAAACGTCACCGACTCGTGTATAAAATCTGTCCCAACCAACTCCAAACCTTCCCTGGGCACCCGAATAAAAATAACTCACCCAGCCCCTTAATCAATCAAAATTATTGATTTGTACTTTAGAGTGATTAGATTGAATGATATGTATGCTAACGTCATATCATATTTAGTTTTTACGTCATTATTTTGGTGAACTTTAAATGTAGACATTTTAACGGTGTGTCATTTGACACGACGTACTATAACGTTGTTGATTTTTAAAACTTGAAGTTTATAATCTTAAGCAAATTTACCACCACCTTACCACCACCTTACCACCACCTTACCACCTTACCACCACCTAAGGTGATCAAAAATTAAGATGACAATGTAAGATATAGAAAAAGAAAATACATTGAGTGGTAAAAATAAAAAAATTGTCATTAGACGTAATGTATTATGTATAAGTTAACTTTCTTAAAAATTAAAGAAGTTCAAGTCAAAAAGAAGATTGATGAAAACTGTAATACTAAAGCGAACATGGGAAGGTAATCTGCTGCAAGACTAAGATATATATTTTGTTAACCCTTGTCTTCCTAAATTATTTTTTAACTTTTTAAAGAAATTGACTGTTTAGTTAAGGATTCTGACGCGAATTTTTTCACAAGGGACGATACTCGTGTCTGTAGACAAGGTTGTTGTAATTTTAGAACAGTTGTCTTTCCTCTCGTTTCTCTATTAGGGAAGCCGTAAGGGGAAGACACGCGACACGTCTTTTAAAATGTAAACAAGCGTGCACGGGGTGCACTTAAAATAAACCCCGCTGCGACAATTGTTAAATTTATCTGGCTCAGTGTGGTCAAATGGTGGTCAGATCAAAAGAAAATCGGAACGGTCATAAAAAACGTAATTACTTTTCCAGACTTGTAAAAAACATGTCTACCCCGCATACCTACGTACCAACGCACCAAGTCGCCCTGTCGCCCATTAAAAAACACGAACCTACCGAGACTTCGTTTCGTCTCAAAACCTGACTTAACGGTGGTTGAAAGAAAATTCCGACCCTTAAATATATTTTTGTTTTCGCTGACCCTCGCTATAAGCGAATAGTTACAACCATTAATCTTTCATACATAGCAAGGGACGGTACGCATGACATGTGGAAACAAAATTTTTTAATTTGATCAAAGAATGACCGGGCGTACGATATGTGAACATAGTTCATGTACAGCTGTAGTCTAATGAAAAAAGCCGAGAGCCGTGACTAATTACAGCACCAGCTGTCGCCACACTTAACGCGGAGAGGGACTTAATGGCTTCGATTAATTACCTGTTGTGATCGCTTCAGTGAGCCCGCTATTAAGCAACCACGGGGAGCGCCTGGGAGGATTACGGGCGGATCGATAAGTACAAGCTGTCGCTAATAAGTAACAGCTGTGGTTAAATGGATGTTATACACAATGACACTTTCTAGTACACGCTAGTGTTAGTCTTTTATTTCAAACGGCGTACAACAAAGAAATTAAAAGCAAACTAATTAAAATGAATTTCAAACAAATAAATTATACAAAGTAATTAAATTAAACAACAAGTAAACAACAATTAAAAATAAAATTTAAAAATAATAATTTAAAAAATTTAAAAAGTTAAAAAATTAAAATCAAATTACGTAACTCGTTAATAATAATTAAACTAATTATAAAATTAAATTAAAAAAAAAAATTTAAAAATTTAAAAAATTAAAATCAAATTACGTAACTCGTTAATAAAAAATTACACATAGATGGACCATCATACTGATGGTCAGTAGGTGCGATCAATACATTCCCATTAAAAGCGCAGCGCGTGTCAACAAAGGATCACGGATCGATAAGTAACAGATGTGGTTAAATGGATGTTCTATTTTCGGTAACCGTTCGTTGTGTTGCTGAATGGTCCATAACGTTGTTGATTTTTAAAACTTGAAGTTTATAATCTTAAGCAAATTTACCACCACCACCACCACCACCACCACCACCACCACCCGCTTGGTAATATCTGTCGCCAATAATTAACAGCAAACTAATTAAAATGAATTTCAAACAAATAAATTATACAAAGTAATTAAATTAAACAACAAGTAAACAACAATTAAAAATAAAATTTAAAAATAATAATTTAAAAAAAAAAAAATTTTAAAAATTTAAAAAAAAAAAAAATCAAATTACGTAACTAGTTAATAATAATTTAACTAATTATAAAATAAAATAAAATTAAAAATAAACAAAATAGGTAATGTCCGGTTGATCCGCCTAATTACACCACCAGCTGTCGCACAACAGTTGTTGCATAATGACCTACGTACTTCACGGAGAGGCACTTAATGTACGTCGTAAATTACCATAACCTGTCAACCGCTCGGGGGAAACTCGGTGAAGCATAACAAAAAAATTTAATTAGGTGTGATGGCCCCGTGGGTGCGATCAATACATTCCCATTAAAAAAACGCACAGCCCTGAAAACTTCGCGGGCGGTCGATACGTAACAGGTGTTACATGTCTGGTTAATGGATGTTATTCACAAAGTACAACTAGCACACCCCTACCCTCAAACCCATCATTACTCACCCCTCCCCTCAACCACCCCTCTCCGTTTACTATTAAACACACATACAAAGAAATCAAATAAACAAACCCCATGCTGCGACACCACCACCACCCCCAGGTCACCACTACTCCCCCTCTCCCCCACTCTTCTCCACCCCCCACCCCCACTGCTCCACCACCAGGTGGTGGGAGTATTTTACTATATGTCTTTGCGCCACCCTAGGGAGTATTTTGTTATATGTCATTGTTCCTGCGGCCACGAGTATTTTGCTATATAACCTTTGCGCCACCCAAATGCGACCCAAAAGGGACCTAATATACTACTTGTAAGTCTAATAAAGCCTAGACTTTCTTCGGCGAAGGGGGGCTAGGCCCCCCCCCCCCCCCTCTGAAGAGATCACTTGAAGAAACTCTGCTGCATGCTAGTTAAGACCAACTGTATACATTTTTCATAGTGTCAGAAAATTTAAAATGTACAATGTGTACGTTCTGGTAGAATAAAGTAATGTGTCTCCGTGACTGCTTTCTTTTAAAGTAGGCCTATCAGAATTAAGGGGTGATCCATGAATGACGTCACGCTTTTTGACGATTTTTACCTCCCTCCCCCTTCCCTCCTTCCTACATCGTCACAAAAAGCCAGACCTCCCCTACCCATAAAATGACGCTACAACTCAGCCTACAACCCCCCCCCCCCTGAAAATTGAAGTTGAATTGTTCTTAAAATACGATATTTTTCCAAAATCGTGTCTGAACTCTGTCAACATAGAGTACTTTTAATCAATCCCTGTTACGATTTATTAAAACAGTTTTCTAAAACACGAAATAACGGCTGAAATTCGTTTTTTAACATTGCCTTTTTATTATCCGAAAATGTGACGTCACACCATCTGGAACCCCCCCCCCCCCCCTTCCCCCTCATCACACACCGTCACCGATTTACGCCCCCCCCCCCTGACTTCATTTGTGGATGACCCTACTAAATGTGTTTCCTGAAGGTGAGTCCAGAGGCGTAGCGACCCTTCCCGACACCCGTGGACAATCTTTAGATTTGCACCCCACCCCCTCTCAAGATTTTGATTTGCCACCCCCCCCCCTCAAACTTTCGATTTGCACCCCCCTTTAATTAAGCTTTCAATTTACTTTTCCAAACCATTTTGACTCTCCCTCAGGTCGGCGCCCGGGGACGTATGTCCCCCCCCCCCCCCCTGCCCCCCCCCCCATCGCTACGCCTCTGGGTGAGTCAGTTTGAGTCCGTTAAATAAAGTGTATTACAAGGAGACAAATCTGTGGACCGTCCTTGTGTTCTGTTTCAGCGCTGCTTCATACGTTGCCTCCACCTGCCGACCGCTTCTGTAATTCAGATAACGTATCTGTGAATTAGAAGAGACAGATGCCATTATCGCAGGGGTCGGCAACCTGCGGCTCGCGAGCCGCATGCGGCTCTTTTGATGTCAAAATGCGGCTCTCCAGCTCCTGGCATAAACATAAACAGTTATATTATTTCATATTCAAAACAAATATTAGACTATAAAGAAACACAACTTTAAACAGGATAAAAACACTCATTAGAGAACAGTGAGAATAGGTGCAGTAGAAAGTATACGGACAGCCGCTTGGGCACCAGGCACAGCCCAACGGCCGTTCTATAGACAGCCCCGTGGCAACAATTCCATGCTTGCCACTGCCCAAGGGCCGGCTTTTTCAAATATCATTGAATGGGGGAATGTTATTTTATTCAGAATGCATTCCTCTACCTATCATTAATCAATAATTTGACCTGAGTGACGTAGTTTTTTTTTTTAGTAATTAGCTTCCTACGGTCGAGCTGGGTACTGGACGGTGGGGTACGAGTTTACACTGGGCTCTGTGGGGTGGAAGATAAGCCTGGTGAGAATCGAAGGACAGAAGCGACCGATACACGGTAATCAAACCAATATCCAAGCCAGTTAGTCGGAGTAGGCCGTGTTGAGGCCTGTCCGGCTAATGGGAGACAACTCCTAGTCGGTGGAGTCCGTAAAGAAAGACAAAAACAGCTTGAGATAGCCCTAGTGTTATATTATTTCATTACTAATTTTATAACTCTGCCGAAACATGTGTATGTTTTTATATGAATAAATATTATTTTATATTTAAAGCTATTTATTTTAAATAACAAATCAAAGTTATTTACATAATCCTAATCAAATACCAAATATTGAAGAAAAAATGTGGCTCTTTAAAAACTGGGAAATTTTGTAAATTGTAACTTTTGGCTCTTCCGTCTCAAAAAAGTTGCCGACCCCTGTCATAGGGGGCTCGTCAGTAAATAACGTCACAGTCATAGGTGGGTGGGGGTGGGGGGTCCGTAACTTTGTGACGGTGTGTGATTATCATATATGAATTTATTGCAGATTAGACATTGTGTAGGCAGTTTCTTATAATCAAATAAATATTTAACGAGTACAAGGGGGTCGGCGTGGTCGAGTAGGTAAAGCTCATGGTAAAGCTCGTAAGCTGGGGACAGACACTATTCTAGGAGAGACAACTCCGAAATCAAACAACTGCTGCCTTGTAGTTTGTTCTTGGTTGGACAAAGGCTATGGAAACAAATAAACAAGTTAATTAAAAAAGTCTAGTGACATTTATGCGCAATTTCCTTATGTTATCTAAAAATAGCTCTGACGTATAATGATAGGGTGCGTTCAAGCTAGAAGAGCGATCGGTTTGTAGGTGTTTATGTAATTTTTAAATTTGTGACCGAACGAGAGGATATTTTTGAAAACTTTCTTCGGCAATATTGTTCTAAATTATGGCAGGAATCGATTGGTACATGTTTCAAGTCGCTAAGTGGTCTGGTTGCCGAGATATGGGCCAAAAACTGCATTTTTTCGAGGTTTTTTGGCTTTTACGGGAAATACATGAAAGAAACCCGGAATTTTTATGGCCTATGCTCATTCTCGTAACTTGCTTAACATAATTGCTTTTGGAACTAGTCATCGATATTGCTTCGTTGAGGAGGAGATACGACTTAAAGCCCGGACACACATTCATCCATTCATTCATCCATCCATCCATTCCCAGAAATGACGAGTTAATAAACGCAATTCTCCAGAATGGAAATTGCGCTAAAAAAAAAAAGAAAAGCAGGCAGAAATCGGAGTCAGTAGCGAAACTTACCTGAACGATACTATCGGTGTGTAAACCAAGAAAAGTTATCTCGTAGGTAAAGCCAGTTTTGACGGGATTAGGCCCCCACAAGTACATAGCATCAGTAGCAGCAGCTACATATCCTGTGTCGAGATGGGAAATATTTCTCTTAGCGGCTAACATAACAACCTCTCCCAGATTCCAAGAATAACCGACACCTACACCTCGTACACTTTTTCTTAAGAGAGTAATGTATTGGTACATAAATAGGAATACGTTTCTTTGTATGTTTCACTCGGCTGGCTTCCTAATGTTTGGAATTCGTTTCCCAAAATAGTAACTATAAAGAGCAGCTAATATAACACCATCTTCCACATGTCTACGTGACAAGTGTAAATATTAACCTTTTTCTTAAGAAAGTAATGCGTTGGGACATATTTCTTCAAATACTTCTCCCGACTGCTGTATTGTATTGAAACCTATTTCGTTAAATACTTCACTCGGCTGCTGTACAGTGTTTCTTCCAGACTTTTTTCTCCGGGGGGGCACTTGAAATCTTCGGGGGGGGCGGTAAACTTTCTTCGGGGGGGCGGACACTGTTAAAAGTATATATTTTCTATATAAATTATATAAATTTCATTTCGTTCGGGGGGGCGGTAAAAAATTTTCGGGGGGGCTCCGCCCCCCCGAAGAGATGCCTGGAAGAAACTCTGCTGCTGTATTGAAACATATTTCTGCTGTATTGGGACATATTTCTTTAAATACTCGACTACTTTTGTTAATGTATTGAATTCGATCAAAGGCAATAATCCCTAGCATTTTTACCACGAAAAAAATTAGTCGAAAATAAAGCCGTTTCACTAAAACCTAACTCAAAACTATACATAAACCAAACTGCCAGAAGCAGAGGCGTAGCGGGGGGGGGGGGGGGGGGGGGGGGTCGGGGATGGGAGAGGCGGACCGCACCCAGTTACACCACTTAGGAGGGTGACACCAAGGCAAAAAATAGCAAAATATATAGAGAAAAATTATAATTCCACTTGATTAAGTGATTAATTCGAGTGTTAAATAGTCTGTTAAGAGGTGCAAAACGAAAGTTTGAGGGGGGGGGGGGGGTGCAAATCGAAAATTTAAAGTTTGTCCCCGGGAAGGGTCGCTACTACGCATCTGGGGGGTGACACTATTAAGTGCCGCACCGGGTGGCACCTCGCCACTGACCAGAATAAGATGTAAGACTCCATCGCCGTTAATCTAATCCTAACAGTTTCCACTTTACGGACATGACTTAGTCTTGAAGTTAAGCATAAAGATTTCAACGTAGGCCTACTGATCATCTTACCTATTTTAGCCATCCAGAGAAAGCACACTAAAAGCAAGTTTCTTCCGTACATTGTGAGCCTTTCTCCTAGTCCAAAATACGTGTAAAAATATTTGTTGTAGATCACATTATGTCAGTTATCTGTCAAGAAGCAATAACAACTATTTATGGCGTGCGACACTCAGCGAGTGGCTATTAGAGACATTTAAAAATATAGTAATCTTGTGGGGTGAGTTGAAGTGATTTTTATTGTACGAGCCGACCCGCGGCATAACATACGCCGCTATTTGGTTGTTGTTTTTTCTACCTTTTAGTAATTCATAATTTGTGAATTCGACAGTACCAACGCTGCCACTGAAAATATTTCTTTAAAACACTATAAGTAGCTCGTTAAGGACGATACCCCCCCCCCCCCCCCACACCCTCACCCCCCCTCCCTCCGTTAAAGTAAACTCCACTTAGTTACCCCACCCTCCTACGTTTAAAATCGTTTCAAACTAAATTATCTGCCCCTAATAATCGTCACTAAACCCGGCTCTGTAAACATTTAGAGTGAACCACAGCTCACCAGACAATGTAGGGGTGGGTGTGATAGGGAGCGCGCTTACAGCTTGTTTTCTAGCGTCTCCCAGAAGAGAATTATATATATAGATAGATGGCTCGAGTTTTTCTTCTTCGTCGTTCTTAAATTTAGTTTAGGAAGGGATCCCCTTTAACACAATTATTTAATAACTTCATAACCTTATACCAATAAGACTAGCAGAGGCGTAGTGAGAGGGGGGGGGGGACACATGTCCCCGGGCGCCGACTCTAGGGGGCGCCAAAATGGGTTGGAAAAATAAATTGGAAAGTTGTGGGAGGTGCAAATCGAAAGTTCGTCCCCAGGCGCCGGGAAGGGTCGCTACGCCTCTGAAGACTAGTATTGTGAACAATGTATAATTCTCACATCACTTTGAATCCATTACGTAGCGAACGTTTCTACATTGTAACATCACTGACTTGAAGCCAAATGGCGTTTACAGAGTTGTTAGTAAAAGGTGTACCAATCACCGGACCTTGCGAGTTCATGCGGTTCTCGGCGTCGAACGACATACCAATGCAGAGGCGTAGCGAGGGGGGGACGAGGGGGGGGGGGGCGGGGGGACGTATGTCCCCGGGCGCCGACCTTAAGGAGGGAGCGCCAAATTGAAAGTTTGAAGGGGTGCAAATGAAAAGTTCGAGGGGGGGGAGTGCAAATCGAAAGTTTGTCCCCGGGCGCCGGGAAGGGTCGCTAAGCCTCTGTACCAATGCCACCCTTCGCCATGTTTTAAATTCTCCCCGCGAAACTTTGGCCGGGTTGAATGAAGGATAGTTTATTGGATCATGATACAACACAAGTCGGGAGATAGACAGCTGTATTCATATTCTCGCCAAATTAGATACTGTACTGATACTTCTTATAAAGTATCGAAAGCATATGGGGTGGGGGAGGGGACTCGGTGGTGGTGGTGGGGGAGGGGGCGGTGTGTTCAAAATTGATAGTTCAAAATTGTCCTTGCAAAACCATTAATTGTGTACTTATAAATGTTGCGTTGATTCATGATGGGTAGGTTACAATTCAGAAAGGCAGACATACCATCGTATATATATATATATATATATATATATATATATATATATATATATATATATATATATATATATATATATATATATATATTGTTACGGGTCATTTGTAGGTTAGACTACAATAGGATAGGAAGATCTAGGATTAGGGGAGAGTGAGTGTGTGAGTTGAGTTTACCCTAGAATATTGTTAACCCAGGTGTGTTTATGTATTGTTATCCCAAGGTCGAATGCGGTATAAAAGTTGGAGTGAACGATTGTCAGGGGTCAGTTGGTAGTGGTTAGGTTGAGGGCTATACTGTAAGATGAATATGTAAGACCGAATAAACGTATTGAACGTTAACCCGAGTCGTTCTTGAATTTGAAACCAACCCAGAACGCAACATATATATATATATATATATATATATATATATATATATATATATATATATATATATATATATATATATATATATATATATATATATGTATATATATATAAATATATATATATATATATATATATATATATATATATATATATATATATATATATAAATATATATATATATATATATATATATATATATATATATATATATATATATATATATATATATATGTATATATATATATATATATATATATATATATATAATGTGTGTGTGTGTATGTATGTATATATAATTATATATATATATACTTATATACATATAAATATATTATGTATATATATAACTATACACATAAATACATACATATATGCGTGTGTGTGTGTGAATAAATGTGTTTTAAAAAGTAGGCCTAATCTGTTGTTAATTTAATTATCAATTATACGGTTTGGGCCACCCTTGTACCTTGTAAGATGGCAGATTAAATAGATCTTAATCTAGATCTAGATCTAGAAGTCTGGATCTAGATCTAGAAGTCTAGATTTAGATCTAGAAGTCTAGATCTACATCTCTATTACTTGATCTCCGTGTAAATTGAAAAAAACGTCTAAAAAACTAACAAAGTTTTCCTGACAAATTTACGAGTACTGTAACGTATATTTTATTCCCTTTTCACTTTATTTTATTTAAAATCTTTTAAGACCAAAAAGCGTTAACATCAGTGTTTTGATTTTCAAATGAACTGTGCGCAAATTATAATGACAACTTCCGCTTATGTTGTAAATTTTAAAAAGTTACACAAAAATAAATGAAACATTATTTACTTTTTATTTCTAAATTACAATTCCTTCAAACTTAAAAAAAAGTAGGGTAACATTAGACATAATATTATATTTGATTAGATGTTTAATTAATTTTAAATTAAAAAATTAGTAATAAATTAAAGATTGCTAATAATTATAACTATTTGTCAATGTTATCACATACTTAGTTTGCGTTCATTAGGTGCGCATCTTTATAGATTCGCATTTCATTACATATTAAAAAGTATTGAAAGAAATTAATAACAAAAAAACTATTTTGATAACAAACAATAGATAACTAAAAAAATTTTAAGTGGAGTTATTTCATACATAATATAACCTACGGCGATTTTTTTTATAATTATTTAAAAGCTTGTAACTATAAAGGTTATTTATGAATTTATTTTTATTTAGTTTCTTCACCTTATCCGTGTTCTTTTTAATATATACTTTCATAAATGTCACCGTCACCGGTAATTCTTTTTATTTACAGTAGATTTGCATGACTTAAAGACTATTGCGCACCAAATTAACATGATAATGCGCGTATAATTCATAAAAATTAATTAGACATCGGCGTGGTCGAGTCGGTAAAGCTCATGGTTGCTAACCCGAAAAGTCTCGAGTTCGAACCCTCAGATGAGGCTCGTTAGCTGGGGACAGATACTCCAAAATTAAACAACTGCTGCCTTGTAGTTTGTTCTTGGTTGGACAAAGGCTATGGAAGCAAATCCAAAAAGAAAAGCAGGCTAAAGTCGGAGTCAATGGTCTCAATGGCGCATAACCAGTTGACACGTATCCTTAATTGTGATGGAGGCGTGGTCGAGTCGGCAAAAGCTCATACATTCGAAAAAAGTTTCGAGTTTAAACCCTCTGGCAGATAAAAAATTAAGAACGAAGAAGAAGAAGAAGAAAGGGGAAAAATGATTTTCTTTAAATATAATAATAAAATAATATTTAAAAAAATAAATAAAAAGAAAAGTGTGGGTCGCTTCTTAAATTGTAGAAAAGGTATTGAACACAGAGTGTAACGTCCCACGCTAGCCACCTACCGGTGTTTTTTCCAGAAGTTTCTTAGAGTCG